TTTATGATAGGTATGTTATCTCATTTTTTAAAATGGGATCGTAATATCTGTAACAAACAAAAAATATCATCACTTAAATGGTGTGACTATAATGGTAATTTTAGTGATCATTTTCATGCTTAACTATTACGCTTAAATAAATGATCATCCATAATTTTTATTCATTGTATTGCAGTTATGCATGCCTTTATGAGTAAATTTTATTTCACTAATATTTTAGGATATTTTATTAAACTACTCTACCTGGCTTCATTTATTCTCTAATTTTAAACTTCGGATATTTTATTAAACTACTCTACCTGGCTTCATTTATTTTCTAATTTTGAACTTCTAAATAACCTAGTTTCTTAATAGACAGATTCACGCCAATATCAATCTCTACGGTATCGAGTGAAAGGAAAAAAATTCAATACTGAGTATTACAAATGTGAGTAATATAATCTTTGTTTATTTAATTTAAAATTTCTTTTCTTTCTAGTTCTTAATACGGAGTACATAAACTTAATTATTAATACTCATTTAAATATAAGAAACTGATGTTCCAAATAGTAGTGCGTAAAACATACGAAGTATATAGACAAAGGTATACCGGCGTTCTATTGTTTTAAAACAAGTGTATACTAGTATAATTTATAGTTAATCGAAGGGAAAGTTCCCGAAATAGGACTAAAAAAGTTTGAAAATTCTAAAATAGGACTGTCATGTTTTTATTCCCAAAATAGGAGTAATTACTGCCAAGTTTGGAAAATACTGTCATGTTTGAAGTCTGATACTGCCAAAACATGGCAGTAATTAGTCATATTTTGGGAATAAAAACATGACAGTCCTATTTTGGAATTTTCAAACTCTTTTAGTCATATTTCGGGTAATATCTCTTAATCGAAGTAATGAAGTCTCCAAATAATTAATATGTGATTTGCAAATATCTTTGTGATTTTATAGCATCACTCTTGTCCTTCCATAATAGAGTTTACATGTTGAAGTTATATACAATCAAGGAGGTTATGGTCAGAGTGAATTAACTAAATAGGACAAAACAATGGCCAAAGAGTATAAATAAGACTACATTTTTAAATCCTCCAGTAGGACTATTATTTATGTGTATATGTATTTGGACAAATATACCCTTGTATTTTTTTTGAAATACTTTAGTTAATAATAAAATCGTAAAAAATTTAAAAAAAAAACGCAAAAAATTATAAAAAATTAATTAAATATTTATAAAATATTTTTTTAAAAAAAGTAAAAATCTAAAATAAAATTAAAAACACAAAAAAATGCCCCCTCTGATTTGCCACCCCCAGCACCACTAGTGAGGAATTCAAAAATCAATGTTTAAATTGTATCTACAAACCTAGAGCTCTTGATACCATGTGAGAATTTGGGAAAAGGTGCTCCAATAGGAGCCCTGACATGTCTATTTATATTAAAAGAGTTTAATACAAAATAGGAAACAAATATGCCTAATAATATTCTATTAAGAAATACTTTAATCATAATTTCTATTATCATTATTTTGGGAGTTACAGTGTTACACTAGTCTAAATTTGAGTTAATGAGCTAACTACTACTCGCATAGGCTCGTAAATTGCTTCTCTGATCTCTTTTATACGAAGTACTACTTCTGTCCCGTTGGAAGGTTCCTATAGCAAAACGGCACAATTATTTAGGTTATAATTAAATAAAGTACTTCAGGTATATTTTGAGAAATAATTTTAATATGTATATATTATAATGCGTTAGTATTGATAACTGTGATATTATAAATGTATTATTTTTAATATTTAATGACTAATTTGTCACTTAAGATTATTAATTTGTTCTTAAAATAGAAATGATCGAGAACTTTCTAATGAGACGTCCAAAAAAGAAGATGAAAATTTTCTAACGGGACAGAGGAAGTATATACCCGGAGTAGTTTGTAAAACACTAATCTATTCAGATCCATGGATGTGACAGAGTTAGTTATTGTGGATCAAAGTTTGCCCCTTTCGGTGTTACTTTTCATTTCGGTTTGTATTCCGATTGAATTTTGCCGGCTTTTGATTTTTGTTTATTTAAAGAGAGATTTCTTTAAATAGGATGTACTAAATAAAAGTGAAATTGTAACAATAGAAGTTTAAAGTTTAGGTCCCAAAAATATGACTAAATCTTTCCATTGCATCCTTTTCATTGTCATTCTTAATATGAATTTTATCAATTCAGGATTTAAAAGATGGATGAATTATCACTCCGGCACTTCAAAGATGAAATATATTGATATATGATCACGATAATAGAAAACTATCAATTTAGGACTTGAGTGATTGAAAATGATCAATCTAAGATCTAAGTTGTCATGAATTTTATTAAATGAATATATTTATTTTTTTATTCCATTGGGGAGTTCTTCCCCTTTTAATTGAACTTGGTGTACGCTCATAACCTAATTGGAGTTAGGAATCGTCCTTTTTATCATAAAGTTGAGAGCCGCGGTCTCTCCCTAGCAGGTCTAGGGTTTTGTTTTTCCTTAGCAGATCTAAGGTTTGTTTCTTCCGGCCGGTAAATCCTCTTCACTTGTGTCCGGCGCTGGGATTGGATTTGAGGCAGATTATTAAGAATCCTTGGCCAAGCTTGACGACATCGAAGCCAAAGTTTGGCGATCAATTTTTTCGTGAGCAGGGTAGCAAGGGCATGACAGCGATGAAGATGACCGCTAGCGGTGGATTTGCTACGAGGGCGGGACGAGGAGAGTTGCACGGATTTCGAGCAGGCCAGATGATGATTGACAATGGAGGATCAATTAGAGTGGTACCAAGGATACGGCCTCCTCCCGAACCACCGCCATAGGTTGTGCAAGATGCTAGAGTCCGTGAATTTCCAATAAGTTTTCATTATTTTGTCATTTGGTTTCTTGTTATCGTCTATGTTGTTAGGTTTGTCAGTTTGTTTGAGAATTTAGCATTGTTAGTCATTGCACATGTTTGGATCTAGGGGTAGATGGACTAAGAGAGGAGAGGGGGAAGCTGCCCCCAACAAACTCCCATTAAACCCATTATTTTGTGATAAATTGTTAAAAGATTACGTATTTGCCCCCAATTAAAAAGTTTGGTTGCCCCCTATACCGTTTCGCCCCAATTAAAAATTAGAGAAAAGAGTTAAATAAGGCCTTCTACTATTATGAAATAGTCACATAAGGTCATGTACTAAAAAGTGTCATTTAAGTAGCTCTACTTGTAAAAAGCAATCAATTGAGTCATAAAGACCTATTTAACACCTCTTAATCCCGATCTTAGCGTACTTTTGACCAACTTTTTAGAATAGATGATGCGGCATGCGTCAAATATTTAACTAAGATTGGATGAAATACAAGTCAAAAAAATCGACATGTAAACTAAAACCGGGATTAGGAGGTTGTAAATAGGTCGTTCGGACTCATTTGATTGTTTTTTACAAGTAGAGGTACTTATATGACACTTTATTGAGTACATGGCCTTTTGTGACTATTTCATAATAGTAGAAGACCTTATTTGACCCTTTTCTCTAAAAATTATGACCCAATATGAAATTATGGTTTCAGGACTCGCACTAACCCTCACTCACGTTTTGTTCAATGTCAAACACTACATATTAATGAACTGATTTATTATGTTGGCATGAGACTCAATGAACTATTTTTTTTTTTGTAAATACATTACTAATGTTGTTATAATGTTACTCCATATTAATTTATTATGGTGGCATGAGACTCAATGAACTAATAAATTGATATCATGTTATCTTTTTTTAGAAGTAATATCATGTTATTATATGGTCAAATTAATTAAGTTTCAGCCACCGCTAGATTTTTATTGTTTTTTTAATGTAAATTTTGAGTTCATTATTCATGAATAAATTTGATGACTAGTAAATGTCATTTAATTAAATAGTAAGACCTCCATCCTACAAATTATATTTTTTTAATGAAAATTATTTACAAAACTTCAGACTCCATATAAAAGTGATGTGAAAATGTTTTTTTTTTTGTTAAAATTACTTTCATAAAAAGTGTAGGATTTATGACTTTCATAATGCTATACATTTATACCAATCAAAACCACAATTCAAATTTTGAGAGATAACTAATTATTTTGGGACGAAGGTATTACATAATAGTAGATAGTTAAAATAAGAAATAATGATATACGGAGTATATGACTAAGATAAAGATGATTGGAAAATGTGACTTCTCGTACAATGCGACTAAAATAGTAACTTTCAGTGATTAAGTTTATGTCCAATTTTAGACTGTATTAGTCATGAAGTGATGCAAATAATAACTTTAATTACTTTTTTTATCATCAATTATATTTGAGTAATATTTTAGGAAAAACATCTTATATAAAACTTAATGATTCTCTACAGAAAAATCAAAACTTGGCCGGAACAATTGTGATGTATTTTACTAAACCTTTGTTATTATTATTATAATACAGAGTAATACAGAGTACAATAAGACAATCTTTCATGTCCGGCCGGTCTGACAGGAACTGCCGTCCGGCCGAGGACATTTTGGGACCTTCCCGGTGGAAAATTTTGATGAATTGTTTTGAGCATGTTCTTCATCAAGTCTAGTTTACACATACCAAAGTTCAGCTAAAAAACCAATTGGGAAGACAATCAAATGATTTTTTGAAAAATACTGCGCTATTTTTATATATTAACTGCCCAATGTTCCTAAATAATTTATCTAACTCCCTTCCCGATTGCATTTTTAGCTAAAATTTTGTATGAGTAAACTAGACTTGATGAAGAACATGCTAAAAAATTAAACTTTCACCAAAAACATCCACAGGAAGGTCCCAAAATACCTTCGGTCGGACGGCGATTGATGTAATGATCCTGAAACTTATGATTTGAATAGAGGCTAATTTTTGTTCAAAAAAAAAATTGAACTTGGTGTATAACGTGGGTATTGGGCCAAACTAGGAACCTGGGTAACCTGAAGTAGTCCTGAACCCATAAGACGTAAAGCCGGACCAAGAAATTTAATTATACGGGGCAAATGACATCAGAAATCTATCTTCTTATCCTATATCTCCTTTCACTGAAAGCACTTACTTCAAACTATGGCTACTCTTGTTGGAGGAACAACCTCTTCTATACTAGCAATTCTTGCTTCTAAATCCATCTCCTCTCACCCCTCCATCGTTTTCCTCTCCCATCCTTCCTCAGGCATATTTTATAATGCCCATTTCTTTGGGGTTTCTCCAACTTTATTCCTGTTTTTGTCTGTATTGTTTATATTTTTGTACTGATTGCAGGTTTTAGCGCGGGGAAGAAGTTTTATGGAGGGACAGTACTTCCAGTAAACAAAGGGAGATCTCCATTCCATTTTTCAGTTTCGAATGTTGCCACTGAAGCTACCCCTGCTCAACATCGGGTGTTTTGTCTTCTTTAGTTGTTTTATTATGTTACCAGTATCTTGGCTTCTGGGCTTAAGATGTTTGCTTTAAACTGTGATTAAATTGACACTAATTTTGACAGAGCATTCATTTGGCTATTAGAACTAGCTAGTTTTAGTTGTTGGAGCTGCTAAAAAATCAGGGCATGTTTGGATCCCGGTAAGCGATAGGGAAAGGAAAAACGATTCTAAAAAGTGATACTTCCTACTTAATTATGTGCTAGTATATATTTGGTTTTGACTGAGAAAATGAGATTAAGAAAAGGTTAATGCTTATTTTTTATTCTTTAAACATATTTAGAATTCTTAGTCTATTTATAATGGAAATACATAAATAATATGAGTTTCATCTCAAGGGGTTGAAAAAAATCTGCTTGCTCAAAATGTTGACTGATTTCTATGCAAATCCTAGTTCTAATGGAGAAGGAGTTGTTAAATATAATAAATTTGGAATTTGGATCTTAAGCTAGTTTAAAGAACATTTATGTGTCAGGGAGAAAAAAGAACGTTTCTTGAAAATACTGAGTCAACTCGAGTATAGAAATTTGTATTCTTTTGTAAAATTTTGCATTTTGTGTGTGTAATTTATAGGCTCAAAAGCTTGCAGCTAATGATAGCAGGCCGGTGTATCCCTTTTCTGCAATAGTAGGACAAGATGAGATGAAATTATGTCTGTTGCTCAATGTAGTTGATCCAAAGATTGGAGGAGTCATGATCATGGGAGACAGGGGAACTGGGAAGTCCACAACGGTCCGATCCTTGGTAGATTTACTTCCTGAAATCAAAGTGGTTTCAGGCGACCCATTCAATTCGGATCCAGATGATCCAGAGGTGATGAGTGTGGAAATCCGGGAGAAAATATCAACAGGTGAAGAACTACCCGTGGTCCTGACCAAAATCAACATGGTTGACCTTCCATTGGGTGCGACTGAGGATCGGGTGTGTGGGACCATCGACATCGAAAAGGCTCTCACGGAGGGTGTGAAAGCATTCGAGCCGGGCCTTCTGGCGAAAGCCAATAGAGGGATTCTTTATGTTGATGAGGTTAATCTATTGGATGACCATTTGGTGGATGTTCTATTGGACTCTGCTGCCTCTGGATGGAACACGGTCGAAAGAGAGGGAATTTCAATATCACATCCGGCTCGGTTCATTCTCATTGGGTCTGGGAACCCGGAGGAAGGGGAGCTAAGGCCACAGCTTCTTGACCGGTTTGGGATGCACGCACAGGTGGGGACCGTCAGGGACGCTGAGCTGAGAGTGAAGATTGTAGAGGAGCGGGGACGCTTCGATCAAAACCCTAAGGAATTTCGGGAGTCTTACAAAGAAGAACAAGAGAAGCTCCGGAACCAGATTGATTCGGCTAGGCGTGCCCTTTCTTCAGTCACACTTGATCACAATCTTCGGGTCAAGATCTCAAAAGTATGTGCTGAGCTGAATGTTGATGGGCTAAGGGGTGATATAGTCACAAACCGGGCTGCAAGGGCGTTGGCTGCCCTAAAAGGAAGGGGTGAGGTGACTCCTGAGGATATTGCAACAGTGATACCCAACTGTTTGAGACACCGTCTCCGGAAAGATCCGTTGGAGTCGATTGACTCTGGGCTGCTTGTCGTTGAGAAATTTTATGAGGTTTTTAGTTGAGAAAGGTTTGAAGAGATAAACTCCCATTCAAGTTGCAGTCGTGTTGTTGAATTTAGGTGTCCTTGTTGAAGTTATATTTGATTTAGTGATCTCTATGTATGAGGTAAACCAATACTTTCTTCCTTTGATTAATGACATTCTGTTCAATCTTACATGAGATATCAAAGGTGTACCCGCTCTTGTAATCTGAAATTCTGAGAGTAATGCATTGACCATATTCACCTAGTGATGCACCGATGCAGTTCTCATCATTTTTGCTATCATTTAATGAATAAAGCAGTCATTTTATTTAAAAAAACGAGTTCTACCAAACAAGGTAATATCGACCAATTACACACTCCTTGGCTTGCCCAAAGTGGTGCTCTTGATTCGCGTCCAAAATGTGATACAGCCCAAATCTAATCACCCACACGGACAGCCTTCCTGTCATTAGGATTTAGGACTGCCGACTGCCCCTTCTTGTGCGACCAACCTCGCTCCTCAAAACGAGAACAAGGTAACAATGAGCTTTCATTTTCTTTGAGCTGTGGAATGTGAGAAGTAGCATACGTGGTTTGGGCAAATTCTTTCCCGGTACATCTCTTTACGTACAATTTATTCATTTGTAGGCATCTCCCCCACTTAAGGTTCCAATTGTTTTCCAGTGAGAACTCTCCTGGCAGTAAAATGAAAGGTATAAACATGGTTAAATGAGTGAAATGTGTGCTCTTGAAAGCTTTGGCTGCTGGATGAGGGAAAGGCTCCATAAGTTCAATATAAAAATTAAAGTAAAAACCAAAGTAAGAGATTTACCGTGCTTACGATACAATTGGATGTTTTCTACAACCACATGTAATGGACGACAGTATAAAAAGCATCCAACAAATCCCAATATACCGTGTAATATTTTAGACTAATAAGGATGTTTTTACTTGGACTGTAATTTGTCCCAGACCAGATCAGACCAGACCAGAACAGACCAGATTTGGATAGTTATAAAAATACAAAGAAACCAGACCAATCCAGATTAGACCAGACCAGCAAATTACAGTCCAAGTAAAAACATTCCAACTTTTACTCATACAGAAATTAAGGAAGTGAGCGTAAACTAGAACATATACTTAACGCCTATTCTATATGCAATTTAAATCAGAGAAACTTGATTATATTGCGTTTTACCATGTGTACATGTCTTTTACAGCAATTCATAGAACGTCTTTGTTTTCTACCCTTTTGTCATATTTCCATTAAATTGTTTCTCTTCTTGATCAGAATTTTCTAGATTATTGCTGAACGTTCACTTGAAGAGATGGTACAAGAAAATATAAGACCTAAATGTATATATCTAGGAATCTAGGCAGGGGCGGATCCAGAAATCTGAGATGTCCTGGGCTGAATAAGAATTATACTAGGCTTAAATATTAGATGAGTGGGCTAAATGTGAAAAATGAAAAAATTCACACTAAAAAATTGAAAATTTTCTAAGTTGTCCTGGGCTTCAGCCTACCATAGCCCGTACATAGATCCTCCCCTGAATCTAGGATGCCTTTTCAATAAGAGATTTTAGCCAACACTTATTTAATACGTAGTACAACTTAACTAAGAAGTTTTTTAGTATAGCTGTTCAAAATAGATCATCATCAAATCAAACAAAACTACTAGGTTAAAACAAAGTAGGACAACAACATTGATTTAAAGATGACACAACTTCCCTAATCTAGAAACTAGAATTACAATTAAATGGTTTTGTCTGTGTCTTCTTCTATCAGTTCTGCATCATCTTCAACACTTGGTATATTCTCAGCACATAGCACTGGTTTCCTCCATTGTGATTCTGAAGTACTCTTTCGTCAACTGCTTAACAAGTTTCATCTGTTTAAAGAATTGACGGAAACAATCAATTAGTCCATAATATGTGCATAGTATACTTTACATAACCCATGTCTATCTTTACTGTGCTTAAATTTTGAAATAGGAAGTCAAAGTTTAACTATGATGCACTTCTAATATAGAGTTATTTTAATGAAGGAAATTATGATGAAGTACGATGCTTTTTTCACTTAATAGTATGCTGAAATAGAGATGATTAAACCTGCATTACATGTTACTAGTATTCCCAATAAGTAAACGTTACTCTGTATTTAATTTTGATAAGCAATAATTACATTGGACAAAGTCAAGGCCAACACGACAAATTAGAGAAAAAGCTAGCAAGTATACTTGTATTCGATCCCCAGTAATTATGCATTAATCATAAAAGCTATCATGGCGCGTAAGTACTGTGGGCCGTCAAAGTTTATAATTTCATCTCTATTAAGTCCTTAATACGGGCTAAATACGGGGGTCGGGGTATCTCCTCCGATTGCAAAACAAAATTTTATCCAGTTAGCTTATGAAGTAGGAGCAATAGGAGGCATTGGCGAACTAGGTATCATGGAAATCTAGAGTATTTTTAAAGTAGGCAATGTTAAATGATCAAATATTTTATATAATGGATCCAATGGATCATTCTAAAAAAATGGATCCAATGGATCTTCACAACTTAAATTCTGTCATAGCGATTTGTTCCTTGCTCATTAACCGAAAGGATATACAGATCTGAGTATTTTAAATTCACAAATAATCCCAATTATCGATTTGGAGCAAATCACAGCAGAAATTTTGTCCTCTCTGAAAGGCCGAAGAATGCCATCTGAAGCCAAGCATGGATAGAAGGCAAACTACATTTGTTTTGTTTCTGGACAATGTTCATCAAGATCCCATCAACACTATCACTTCAAGGAGTTTATACAGAACCAGATTTTCGGCAAAAAATCACACATAGGACCTAACTCACAGAGCGTTTTTAAAATTCAAGTCAAGGTTGCTGCTGCTGCTACTGGAAACCTTGAAATTAGGAAGTTGCTCCAGAAAATCGGGTGGCCTTTGATACACAATGGAAGCAGCCCTGATCAAGATACCAGCTGTTAATCCCCAAATCAGATACTTGTTGTTTTCCCCCATCTCATAATCAAAGTAGTGGATTAAATAGTTGCGCCCCATCCATTCTCTTTCTTCTGATCTTCTGTGCTCATCCTGATGAAGATGAAGACATGCAACCATAAACAAACCCTCTCAAATGGAACCAGGGAAGTATTATGGGAAGAAAATAGAGTTGTAAAATAAGAGATGGGCTAAAACCAAACAAATGATTTTAGACATTTAATGATACATTGATACTCATTTGTTTTTAGGTCTACCATATAAATACTGAGAAATCCAAATTATCATCAAATTTGATTTTCCTTCGAATTTTTACGCTATCAGATCATGTACAAGAAAATAACATTCTTTCTGATGCCTTTTTCCGTTTCAGTAGTACTTTCCGGGATGCAAACATAGACTCAAATGAAAGGAATAGAAAGCAAAATATAAGGAAGAATGGGACCTTGAGAAACATTTCTAACGGCACATCAAAAACAGCCTCTACTTCAGCGACATTAGGTGTGGGATTGAATGCTTTCTTATCAGTGAGAATTCCAATAACAGGAATTACTCTAAACAGGTGCTGCATGAAAATATAGTAATCAAAATATTAGAAATGAATAAAGTAATCATCCAAGTGGCTCTATAGCTTTAGATTTGAATAGGTGGGGGGGGGGGGGGGTGCATACGGTTACCTTAGACATGAATGGCTCAAGGCATGTGAGGACATTAACAAGTGAGGGATTCAGCCCGATTTCTTCCTCAGCTTCCCTTGTAGCGGTTTCAGCGTCACTTGCATCACCTTCTTCTGCCTTTCCGCCTGGCAATGCAACTTCACCTGACATCACAAGAAAGTTTCATTATTACATAGATCAAAACTGAAGGCAATATTTACGGAGTTTACTATTAAATTGGGCCTAAATTATCCCCAAAGGATCCTCAAGAAGTGAAGTTTGTCTCATACTTGTATATAGGACACAGCCGCTATACTAAACATCCACAGTAGCACACTGTAAGTCTGTAACAAGTCATATAACAAGTCCCAAAAAGTTGTGTTTTTCTCCGCATTTTTTATCCACTTTAATGCATTTTGACATATTTAGAGCAATTAGATCTTAGATCCCGATGCACCAGATTCCTTCTTACTTTTCATGGAAAGTGGACTTTTTGTTTTATCCTATATATGTACATATTGTGTGTGTGTGTGTGTGTATTATGAGACCTTGCATGTATGATAGACATGATAGAGGTATTTTGGTTAGAGAACTTATGCCACGTGATCAATGAGACAAAGCTGAACTCCTAATATGAGTGCTAGCTGATGCTATCATGTAGATCAACTATGTTAAAAAAATGAGAAGTGCAGGAGTAGAAACTGTGAATCCCTTGACCATCTATGTATTTTTGTTCATTGTGAAAAGGGCTGGATGGAAAACACAGTTGGCAGCTTTTTTAGAAATTCACCGTTCATTTGAAGCAGGGTTCTGTTGAAGTATTTGTCCTACACCGGAAAGCTATAAAAAACAAAACACTATATAAGGCTTTGGGCTACTCCTCCTATCAGGTTGACCTTTTAGGATGGAACCCCGAGTCTTACATTGGTATCACAGCCAATTCCGGTTGTGGTTTGACGACTTGTTTAGCACCCATGATTAAGGTTAGCTTGTTAAGGGTTTGTTTGGCCCGTTTATACACCCCGATATACCATGTTAAGACCCGGGGTTCCATCCTAAAAGGTCAACCTGATAGGAGAAGTAGCCTAAAGCCTTATATAGTGTTTAATTGTTTTATAGCTTTCCGGTGTGGGACAAATGCTTCAATAGGTTCCATGGATACTAGTTGTTGAAGTGTACTGGTGCTAAATGGGCACAAAAAAAGCTTGCCCCCCAATCCCCATGGTTAACATTCCTAGGTATATTTGAAATGCAAAAAACAATTCCGAATGAAATGGCATTCAGATCATTGGGAAACCACTGATTGACCACATATACAGGCTGGGTCACAAAAAATGAAAACAGAAATACTTTATATCCTCACAAGGTCAGGAGCATATACCCCTATCTGTTCACATGGCTGATATTAAATGGACTAAACCACAGCTAAAAATAATTAAACACTGACATTTTAAAAATAATTAAGGCATTGAAAATGCACTAATTTAATTACTTTAAACCGTTTATTTGAAAGTATCACCACGTTAAAGCAAAATTTCCTTTGTGAAAAAATTGACATCTCCACCAAAACTAAACTCTCAAACAAGTTCGGAGGAATTAAAATCTTTTGGTGATTATAAGGACTTGAGTACAGATAATTCCGGAAATAAACTGCTGGCAATATGTAGTTATGTTGGACACAAGCTTATCCGTTTTTGTATTACTAATCGGTAAAAGATCAAGCCGCACTATCCATCACTCTATTTTTTTTTTCTTTCAAAGATTTCACCTTTCCTGAATAAATCACATCCCAACATAAACCCATAACATAAGAGATTGACAGCCTGACTGACCAGAGTGGGAAGAGAGATTTGAAGACCTCTTAGTGAGAATAACACGAAACTCTCCAGCAGCACCTTCAAAGAGGCAGATCAAGACAGCAGCCCTCTTGGTTGTAGATCCTTGAAACCCCCCAACAACTGAGGTCATAGATTCTTGAAAACCCACCGTAGAGACCGCCTCTGACCTCTCATCCACATAGCTTGGTGGAGCCTTATACAGGCGCAGCTGCTTCGCCAAGGCCATAAGTCCAGACCCGGAGCAGCTCTTGGAAGCAGATGATGGGTGGCAGTCCATGAGGAGCTTCTTTGAGAGTGGGAATGAGATACAAGACGATGCAACCCTTCGTCCAGCATACACCATCATCATCAGGAAGTTGTAGAGAGCATTCTCAAGGTTAGGATCGGCATCAAGAACAAATTGGCTCTGTGATAGGGATTAGCCTGCCGCCCTGTACTTTTATTTGCAAGTTGTAGAGAGCTTACCATAGTGCCACTCAATTCATTTTGTTGCGTAAAAATCAGTATTGTGAGCATCACAACTATTTCTGTTGAACATCGTCATTTTTACGTCTCATCTTCTAAATTCGAAAGGGGTTTGTCCCTCAATATTACAAAATTGGAGTCAATTTCTAAAAATGTGACTACTTTTAACTTATGACAAAAATGTGATTAATAAGGTCATATTTTTGGAAAAAGATTATTTCATTGTAATATTTGTCCTCACTATGTTTTTTTTATGCCACTAAGGGAGTGTTTGCAATTGCTTCAATTTTAAAAAAGAGATTTTTTAAAGTGATTTTGGGAAAAGTGATTAATAGTAAAAGTTGGTAGTGTTGTGAAAAAAGTGATTCTGGAAAAGTAAAAGTTGGTAGTGTTTAGTAAAATAAGTACTTTTTGTATAATAGAAAAAATGAGAAGCAGTTTAAAGCACCCTTCTACCTGCTTCCAACTTTTAGCTTTTAAGTGATTAATTTAAGCAGAAACTGTCATTTGAAAACACTCTTTTCAACTTTTTTTAAGCCAAAAGCTGAAAAGCGTTTTTTTAAGCAAACCCAAACACTCCTTAAGAAATGTCACTGTCGGATTTTCGTGTCACTAACTAGGGGTGAGCATGGGACGGTATGAGGCGGTTATTTCAAAAAACATGTCCCGTTCCAAAATACGGTTCTTTTAAAAATCAAAGAGTCTGTACCGTGTCAAATATATACATATAGAACATGTCCCTTTTCGTACCAATTTTCGGTACGGTTCGGTACAATTCTTCGGTACTATTCGATTCCTAAATAATTAACTCTTTCAAAGTAAAAAATATTTTAAGTTTTATCATTAATAAGTAACTATACAAAAATTGAAGAGAAAGGATTGCAAAATTAAAATCAAACATAACTAAAATATAAAACTAATTGTCAAAACTATAATAAAGAAAGGTAACATTCAACTGAAAATCAAAAGGTATGTCTTCACATGAGAAATATAATATAATATATAATATAATATTTGAGTAAAGCTCGGTTCGTTATAATGCTCTGTTCTAAAAATCGTTCTAGGCGCCCGACTAGTCCCCGCCTAGGCGCTAGGCGGTGGTCGGGCGCCCCGATTTTCGTCTCGGCGCTCCGACTAATTGATTTGTCGTCTATGTGAATTAGTCGGCCGCCTATGGCGCCTAGTTGCCCGCCTAGAGCGCCTAATCAGCTGCGTAGGCCGTCTAAATTCGCCAAACATTACTTTACTTTTTAATTTTAATATTCTAAGCGATATACGTACTTTAACTTTAGATATAAAGAAATGAAGTTTTAAATTAAGATAAACTATATATGTTTGTATATATACCTAGATTTTATTATTAATTATATTTATACTATAATGAAGTTAAGTGATTAGTTATCATATACTACGTATGATTAAATGTGAGAATTCAATCTTTCATGTTTGTTAATGTATATGTATATATGTATTTTATACACACACAAATACAATATTACTTATCATATTTATGAAAAAATATAGATAAAAATGCAATTTCTATGTCTCCGACTAGACCCCGCCTAGGCGCTGGGCTAGCGCCCGACTAGCGTCTAGCGCCTTTTAGAACATTGTTATAATGTCGTATAGTGTTATACGTAGTATATAATACAATATATATTATTTTATATAGCCAATTCTAGAGACAATATGGGACGGTTCGGGATAGTTCGTCAGTACGGCTCGGTACGGTTTTGGGACGTTTCTCACTCAAGGACTAGTACCGTACCGTATTATTGAAAAAGTTTGGTACAGTACAATATTACGAAGTATATTTTTCCGGTTTCGTTCGGTTCTAGTAGTGCATGTCACTAACGTATGTCATTATCCCGTTAATCAGGTCACTATCCCATTAATCATGTCACTGTGTCGCCAGAAAAAGTTTTCGCCGACTTTTTTGGCGACATTTTCCACCGCTGTCGCCTCGTTCCCTCCCCATCCCCAACTACGTGTTGAAAGCAACGCCACTGTTTCCCACCTTGGCCACCTGCCGCCTCGTTGCACATACTCCGGCCGCCGCCGTTCGGCTCCAATGGTCGCAGTCGTTCGACCACTGGTCAACCCCAAAGAGCACTGACAAGTCTCAATGACCGCCGCTCGTGACTATCTAGTCGCCCAGCCACAGCCACGTCCCTCGCCCCAATGACCATCTCCCGAGACCCTTCACAATCCCACCTCTCTAGGCCTAGTTGCGGTTGTCGCCGGCCTCATAACCCTAGCGCGGCAGCCACCGACCAACCCCTAGTCAAATCCATGTACAAATCCCTTTTGATCCCCTGTCACAGCCCGAGAGATGAAAAATCATCATCTTCTCAACATACAATCCCAAAAAACAAAAATAATGGCTACAAAGAAGATGAAGAGGAACCAGATCTAAATCAATTTGGTGATGGGAATGAAGAAATAAATTGGCGGTGAAGAGCTCAATAGGTGTATTGTGCGCAGGAGCTCGATCTGGTGATGGCGATTTGAAACCAGATCTAAATCACCATGTTGATATGTAGAGTTTCTCTAGAGGAAGAAAGAAAGCAACAGTGATGAGATCCATCGATGAATTCGCGCGGGAGGTTAGATTTGGGAACGGGTAACATTTTTTTTCACAATCAAATTAGTGATATGTTTGTCTATTGAAACTCTAGAAGTAATATTTAGGCCATTCTTTCAGTTCTAAAACTACTCTAGAATGTGTGGTCTCTAGATTTCTCCAATTATTAATTGTATGCATTAATTATAGAATCTATCTATATATAAAAAGGAGTGGAAAAACTGGCGGGTTTCCCGCCCAAAATCACGGGTAAAAAACGAGTCGGGTCAATAAAGTGATATGGGAGATCGAGTTACGCTGTAAAGGTGAGCCAAACACATCTAATGATCATCGGAATGCATCACAGCACCTGTTGCGTGTTAACACCATATAACCAAAGGTTAAAAAATGGTTGCAAGTCAGCTGATGAGAAAGGTGTCAGTCTGTCCAATGAGTTGTCCTTTTTACGAAGTTGGCGTGTAAAGTACACATAATTAAAATGCCCAGTTAACTCTTCATTTACCGTGCTCACTAAAATCCACCTTTTTACATCCAATTTTTCAGTGTGATTGTTGACGGAGCTGTGGCAAATCAAGGGATATCGGGTGTATGTGCCGGCGATGTAGCTGCAAGCAGGCTGCCTACATCGAATCGACTTCGGTCCACTATTACTGCCTTACCCAGAGGAATACTGCAACAGACGAAATCGGAAGCTAAACTCAGATGCAGTCCGCCAAAACAAAGGGTCTGCAATGGAAGCGTCCGACAGATCTAGCTCCAGACTTCGACGGCGGAGGCTGAGATGACTGAGCAACACCCACCTCCATGCGTTGAAGCCGCCTCATTACCACTGTCGACGACGGAGCCTCCAGGCCAATCCCATCGACGACGGACCCTGGACGACAGAAAGGAGAAACCCCATGGTCGGTAACATCGTCCAGACGGTGGCTCAGGGTTAGTGCCGGTGGATGATCGTTGAGTTGATTTCTACTCAGCCGGGGAAGTTCTCTGGTCAGCGAAGAAGCAAACTCCCGATGTTGAGGGTTGCTGCATCATGAATTCGGAGGATGACTTCTCCATCTGCTCGGCGACCTTGGCAGCGAGCTTCTCCTAGAGTAAGAGCCCATTTTTGCTCCTCCAATCGGGCACTAAATTTTTATGTATTTCATTTTTTAAAAGGTTGAATTCCAATGAATCTATGAGGGCGTTTGGAGCACCCAAAATGGGCTGATAAGCCTGAAAGTATAAAAAAATTTGCCAAACACTAGCTGAATTTGCTGTTTGGGTTGATTTTTATTATCAGCTCAAAAAACAACCCTTTACTTACTTTTTCGGCTGATTCTTATTATTTTGCTGTTGGTGACCAAAAAGACTTGTTTTACCCTTCTGTTATACCTGAAAGAACGTTGGATACATATCTGAAGTCATCAAGTCAACACATCCATCTTCCGTTGCATGTAGTTTCGATGAGTTGTTTGGTGCTCTGGAGTATGGTGTTAAATACTACGTACTTTACTGTGCTAAATAACTCCAATAAATACGTATGTGTACTTTTTGTTTTGTTTTTATTTTAATTTCAATGCATGTGAGCTTTTTAATGCTCCATATATTTTATTGAAAGTGTATTTTTTAAATTAATTTACACATGTTACTAATGTCACTCATTCAGAAAAAATCGTGTTTTTTGGAAGATAAAACTTGTATAGAACAATATAAACTCAACATAGGAGTAAAAAATTTGATGTCATAAGTTAAATAAGCAAAATTAATTTACTAACAAAGATCATACCCATATATTCAACACAAACAAGCTAATACCCTTTATAGTAATTTTACACTCAATCAGCCATTTCAGCCAACATATTACCAAACACTTTCACTTTAACAGATTAAGTCTTTTCAGTCTATTCAGCCTATTCAGCCGTTGCAACCGTTACCAAACGGGCCCTATATGTACATGCGTACATTTGTTTAAAAGTACCCTATAAATACCATATTTCAGAATATTAAAAAATATTTTCTTTTATTTTAAATTTGAATAAAATAGTACATAAAATCTAATACGATAGTACATATTTATTCTCGAAATTAATCTGCACGCAGACACAAATAGTTAAAGACGAACTTTACAGACATTTTTTAAAACAATCCCAAAATTATCTTTTTTTCAAAATAAAAAATATATATGTGCCCTCATTTTAGGAATTGAATAAAAGAATTTACTTAATACCATATACAGAGTACAATATATTACAAAAATGATCAAATAATTAACCTTAAGACTAAGCCTGAGTCCTCATGTTGATTAGTAAAAATTTAAAGGCTTGAATTACAGGTCATATCAAAGACTCATTCTGTTTGATCGATGAGCAATGAAAGATAGATCGATGGAAATGGTGATGA